CCTAAAAGGGAGGAAATACCTGGTACAATGTGTGAGAGGCAGGAAATGGAAGCTAATAAAGAAAGGATGTTGTGGCCTGAAGGAACAGACAGATTGGATGATCTTCCAATGGATTATTTTAAAAGTAGATGAAGAAAAAAAGAACTTAAAGTGATTATATTGTTCCATCTGAGTTATTTGCCCAACTTTGAAGAGAAGTTTTCTTCTTTCTGTGTTACTGTAGTGAAAAATTACAGGGATTTTCTTCACCAGGATAGGAAGTGACATGATGCTTCATATCTCACTCTTTGCACTTATGAAATACGTGACAGCTGAGGTGTTTCTCCTGAGAAATGCTAGAAATTAGCAGGTTGGTTTCAAAGGCAGGAGGAGAGTTAAAAGTACTACTTTTTTATTTTAAAAAGCCGTCCCTGTAACTTCTTTTACAGCTAACAATTGTGCGGAGCTGCATCTTGCCTTGGCCTCATGCCCTAGCTTAAGTGTCCATAAAGCATTACAGCCCTGCCTTGACACATTTTATAGGACATCTCGGCTTTAAGGAAAATAACCTTGTTAAAATCCTCCTGCAAGTGCCGTGGCTGGTCCTACCAGCAGTTTGAGGGACAGGGAGGAGCTCTCGGGGTCTGCAGGATGAGAAGCCTTTGTGGCTTACATGCTGGTGTTTGCACCACTGCTGAGGAGTACTGACTTGTCGGGCCTGTAAGGACCTCTCAGTGCATCTTTCTCCACTAGCTGTCACGCAGCTGGCCAGCTGAGGGCACATAGCCCATGTTACACGGTCCTACCAAAGCACCACGCTGTTTGGTGCGTTGTCTAATCACAAGCAGAAAGGGTGGAGTTGTAGCTGCTGTATCTTTGGATAGAAAGGATGCCTGTATTTTTAAAGAAGCCTTTAGTTTTTAGGTACAATCTGAATCTGAACTGTAGTTCATGTGAATAATGATGAGCTGCTGTTCCACATGCTGTGTGATTCGTGGGGTCTTAATTTTGAGTGTCTGAATCAGAAATTCATCAGTGCATTTGTATATCCCTTGCGCAGTGTTCTGCATCCCAGACCCTGGGAGAGGCTCGGGCTCCTCTGAAGCCCCGTGGCTCTGGCAGGAAAGCGGCTGTGCTGGTGTCGTGCAGGGGTCTCCCCAAAATCCTGTCCTGCGTCTGTCTTTGGGGCCCAGGCCACAGCCTCTGGCTCCTTTGCCTCCCCTCCTGGGAATACAGCCCCTGTGTATGAGCAGGGGGAGCAGAAAGCTGATGTGTTGGGTATGAAAAAGCAGCTTTGTGACTGTAAAGGGCTTGGTCCTTGCTGTGCTGATGGTATTCTTGCAGCACGAAGGAGGAGCTGAGGTGTGAATTAGGGCAACTTGTGCACAGTTTAGGAGCTCTGTGGTTCTGCAGTTTGGACATCTCCATAAGCAGCAGCAGCCCTAGTAGAAGTGATGAGAGAAGCCATACATCTCTTTTTATGTCCTTTGCTCTCTGAGATGCAGAGCAGAGCCCAGATAAATGTTTCTCTGGATTTGGTTCCCATGAGAGGCCCTTACTACAGCAGTGTACCATTAAGAGCTCCTCTTCTCTTTTTCTTTTTTTCTTTTTTCCTTTTTTTTTTTTTTTTTTGAGGATGTTTGTGTGTGCTGGGATAATGCAGCACTCTAAATAGAATGTTTTCCACGTTGGTTTTAAAATAGCTTTCTGTTTTTAATGAAATAGTTTAAAAATAGCTTCTTGCTTTTAAAAGAGCAAAATGCAGCTGCTACTGGCATCTGATTAATGCTTGTTACTTCACGATAGCTGTAATTAAATTCAGATAATTTTTCCACTGTAATATTTATGGAAAACAAGGCTGAGGAGCTGTAGTGCAGTGTTTATGCTAAGAATATAAGAACACAGGGCCCTGCACGTCTCCATAGTTGGTGCCTGGCTTGGGGGTGCAGGGGGCCTTTCCCCTCATGTAGCACTGGGGCAGCGCTGAGCAATTCCTGCAACCAAATTGCCAGATATTTAGCTAAAAACACAGTCTTGTGGCTCTGGTAAGGAACTGCTTTGTTAAAAACACATTTCCACAGTCTGTGTCCCCAGAAGTGTGGATTGCTCCATGCAGCACCTGGGAGGCGATGCTCTGTACCCAACACAGCGGCGGTGCTGATACCCCAGGCACAGCCTTTCCAAAGCGGCCAGCGCAGGCGTGCGAGCGGGGAGCCCCAAAGGCCGCTTTGGCCCTTGAGCTGCAGACGCGTGAGGGTGAAGGTGGAGAGCGCGCGCGTCGGGATCAGCCCCTGCTGTGGAGGGGTTGTTGGAGTCGCCCCTGTGGCTGGTGTCTGCTGGCCACCATGTCTCCTCAGTGCCTCACGGAAAGGTCCAGTGGCTGAAGCTACGAAACCCAGCTCCTGCTGTGGGACATCCTGCTTGTGTTTCTGCCTTGCAGTAGATTTGTGGAGACCAACCACATTGGTGTAAGATGGGAATTAAAGTAAAACTACTGAAGTATTTTATTTTTTTAAAAATGGGTGTTTTATTAGGCTATGTCCTCATCACAATGAAAACATCTTTTCTAGAGAAAGAAAAGAACTGCACCAAATATTTTTGGTAAGTGTGACAGTTTTAGAATAGAACATTTCAATTTTTAGTTCCAAAACTAGCTGCTTTTTTCAGTGCCCTACTTTATTTAGGCTTTTTTGTTGTTGTTGTTACTAAGTTATTGTGTGTGGCTGTGAAACGAGTTTGCTTCTCTTCCTGAAGTTTATTTAGAGTCTTTCATTGACTAATGCCTTTTGTCACAAGTGACAGTGAAGTGCCAGTTTGGTAATAGAGATCAATGGAGACGAAGGTGACATTTCGGAGCAGCTTTGGAAATGGATGCATTACTATTTATCTGACTGCGGCAACCTGAGAACATCCTGACCCTGTAACTTCTCTTCCTGCTCTCCTCCCGCAGTCCTTATTTCCCTTCTCTGTGCCTCTTCCCCAATGCGCTGTGTAGTGTTTTATCAGCCTCTCCCTGGTGACGTGTCCCTTGGGTTTTGCAGGGACAGGGCAGGTCCAAGGGCACGGCGGGTGTCGCTTCCCTCTTCCCTGCACCAGGAGAAGTGCGGAGTTGGCACTGAGCGAATTAACCAAGTGTGATTCACACTCGGCTCTCCCTAAAGACCTAAGCGTACCAAGGACGCTTGTGAGAAGTGCTAAAGCAACGGACAGCAAAGAACTTGAGGCCTCTCTTCGCTTGGGCAAGAGGCACAGCAGAAGCTAATTGTCAGCCCACATTACACTCCGGAGCAGTCATCTTTAAGCACACAGTGCAGTTCAATTCCCAAACCCATTTAGGATTTAATCCCTATCTTCTTTGCTGTGAAATCCGGGAGGGCAACAGCTTTCAACTCTTTAGTGATCTGAGACCACCATATACTCAAATAAGTTTCAAAGCAGCTGTCAAATTAAAGCACTACCAGTGTTGACTGGATCTGAGTAAATATTTACTGCCTTGCATCCTGTTATTGCTCTCTCTGCACATAAGCTTTGCCATCTGTGACCACAAGCCCTGGCTTTTGTGGTCTGTTTGCTTGACATCTTCCACACTTAATTCTAGACTAAGAAGGCCAATCCAAATAATACATAATGCAATTACAAGTAGCACACAACCTCAGTAACGTGTGCGTAAATGAAATGAAAACATATTAATAACCCCCGCCCCATTCCCTCCAGTTGTCTTGCACAATACCCTGGCCGTACATTTAGTACCCACCAAGCAAGAGGAAGATGGATTGCCTTCCCAGAATCTGCTTAGTTAAGGGAGGAAAACCCACACTCATCTAAGCTAGCTTCAGTGGTTTCTTGGAAATATTAATGTATCAAGCTCTCAGGCCTTTAATGAAGTAAAATATAATGTATTTCAATGGAAAACAAATGCTCCATTTCTTCTCTCTGGCATTTGGTGCATTTGATAGCTACAGTATTGGTTTCCAGCAGAGCATGCTGAGCTAATTACATTTCTTCTAAACACTGTTGATTTCTTGATTGCTAATGTGGTATTTGAGAGTCAGTGATTCTTAAATGTCAGCTTAAGGATCCATCTTTACCAGTTTGAATCCCCTAAATGCAGGTCTTGTCTTACCAATATTCCCAGTAAAGAATTACCCTTTCTAGTGCTTGTCTTGCGAGTAAGACAAATAATAATTTCCAAAGGCTGGGATTTTTTTTTTTTTGTACCACATGTAATTGGCGGGAGCATGGAGACATAGAAACATTTTCATTAATGCTTCATTATTAATCAGTGAAAGATGGATGCAGCACTTGAGGGAACCACTGAATGGTGAATTCCCTAAACAATTTACTGTAGCTTCCTTCAAAGAAAGCAGCCCTTTGAAAAGATGGACAGCCCTATTAATGCAGTGTTGCAACAGGACGATGACAATGATGCTCCCCTTCTGATGTGCTCTTCAGGAATGGGAGAAAAGTGAATGAATGACTCTTATTTGTTTAGTAAACAAATGCAGATTTTTTTTTTCTGTTCTGCATTGCAAATTTTGCTAGGACACAGTGTATACAGTTTCAGGTGTTGTTTATGCAGACAGATATTGCTTCTCTTTTTCATAAGCTTCTACTTGCTGCTCTTTGAACCGTACAAGTGCTACAACAAGTTTACTTGTGTCACTGCTGTGACCTGGTAGTAATTCAGCCAGTGTGTAGATGAAGCCACCCGTAAGTGCAGGTCCCTCTCTGGTGGAGATGCTCGTAAGCTTTTCACTTTTCTTTGGAGCATCACTTTGTACCAAGAGAGGTCATGGGGGGAGCCTCAGGTTGTCCTGAATGGTCACTCAGGTTTGCTCAGTAACAAAATGCCAATATCTGCACCTTTTTAATCCCTTTTGCTCTTTTTCTCCACTTGGAAGTGGAGAAACTAAGGAATGAAGTCAGATTGGCAAATATAGCACAGCATTTTCTTGTCCATCACAGAGGATATGAAAATAAACTGGCTTATCTTTCTGCCTGTTTTTTTGTCTCATAGGATTTATTTTCTCTGAGATGCAAGTAAAATCAGAAATCCACGAGATTGTTTACAGCTTTCAGCTCAAATTGGAAGGGCAGAAGGTAAGAATTTGCATATTTATTTTCTGTTTAACTCATAAGCAAGTCACAAACCTGGGTCCTATCATGACTGACATAGCAAGTCATTAGATAATTACGTTGAAACACCGCTTATTGAAGCATCTGTGTTAAAATGTGCATGCTAAACAGAATTTTAATAGGCTATGAATCTAACTCCCTGAGCTTTAATTTGGTAGCTGAGAAACTTAAAGCACTTTCAGCATTATTTTTAAAACACTTTAAATAGGTCCAATTATAGGGCAAGAGTTTTTAGAGAGAGATGTTATTTTGTTTTGACCCCTAAAGCAAATGCTTTGCAGAGTGCTTATCATGCCATAATACGTAGGTAAAGGACCAAGGAGTAACGTTTGCAAGTTCATTTCAGTTTCAGCCTTGTCCTCCAGTTGCCTCTTCACCTTCCTCCTAGGTCACTAACTCTTTCCTCCCACTTCAGTACCTCTATTATATTTTATTCATTTCTGTTCTGTTCCACTGGCTGAAAGGGCGACCAAACTTCTATGTTGTTATATTGATACTTCATGAGATGTTCCCCATCCAAGTTTCTTGTTTTCAGCTAAATCCTTCATCCTTCCTTGGAAGGAAGACTAGATTAGGCTGTACTTCTATCTTATTTTATTTATTTCTTTAAACATGAAGAGGGATCTCATCTCTCCGCAAAGCAGTTTAAACACATACACACTACTTGTAGTAGTGTGCTTTCCTTGGCTTTTCATTTAGCCTGAATTTGTTTGTTTAGTTTAGATTAAATAAGGCCCGTTTCATCTTTCTTGAACTGCAGAATTTGGACAAGTTATGAGACCTGAATATACAATCCTGCAAGAGGAAAATAGCCGTTATCCCTAAATTTATGTCAGTACCATTTTTCTTATGCTACTGCACCCTAGGAGTTCTCCACATGACATAGAACTAAAGCTGCAGTTGATCATATTTTTATTAATGTTTATGCAACAACATAAATATGTATTATTTTTGTTATGAGCAAGTCAACACAGCCAATCTTCTCGTTGTTGGAAATCCATCAGAAGTCCTCAGGAGACACTGATTCGTAAGACTCCTAGTCTAAGGTGCTTGTGGTAGGAGCTGCTTCTTAAATGCAATTTGGGTGACTAATTTTACTGATGTCTGTGGAATTGCCTGTATGAAGGAGAATATTAGAACAGCTTCATATTTTGGTAATTGACGTAGTCTGTATGAAGCACCTTCATCTGTTAGTTTTCCCTTCTGCTTTTCTGTCTTCCTTTCTATTTTTTTTCCCTGAAGGATTGCATAAAGCTTTCCAAGGCTATAAATCTAGGATTTTGTCTTCTCTTTATTTTGAAGAGAATGCATGATGAAATGTTGCCACAAGAGTAAACCATCCCCTGAGAGTATCCTTCTAGCTAGGATCCAAACAGATCTTTCACCTGTATAAAAAATCTCAAGCATCCCATAATATCTATTTATCTTTTGCCCATTAGATGTAAACAGAAACAGATGGAGAATGTAATAGCCACATGAAAAATGAGGCAAAAGGCATAAAACATTTACATGTGGCAAGAAGAGTCAAGGATCTTTGGAAATTGCATCTCGTGTGGAAGTTACAGCTCCATAATTCTTTCTGTGTGACAGTCATATTTGGTTATTTTGCTTTTCAGAGTAATTGTTGGAATTTTTTGATGTATGCTACATGACAATTTTGTTCATGTTTCTTTGGCATTACTTTCCTGACCACATAGTGTACGCTGGTAAAACAAAGCGCTCAAACCTTGAAAACAAATTTCTTTTTATTCTGTTTGGGAGAGCAAATGGGTATAGAAGACTTTCATTTGTTGAAGAAACACAGAAATGAGCTTTTTAATCTATTAAAAATTGCAAAGTGGAATTTCTGTTTAAGACCTGCAGATATTTTCAATGGACTAGCCAGCATTCAAAAAAAGAAAAACAGGATATGCAAATACTTCTATGTGGAATCTACTTCTAAGTAACAACTTTGACATAAAGTTTTATTTCCTGGTTAGTCTCTTGACGTACTAAAATGCAACCATGAGACTGGGATACAAATGCCCAAATTGAAATAGGCTTTTGCTCTCTCTGTAGGAGAAACCAATCAGAAATATTAAAACATATCAGGCTACTTCAGCCATGATATAATCAATATAGTTACAGCCATGATCAAACAAAATCAAAAAAAAAAAAAAGAAAAAATCATTAGTATGCATGAAACCCAGTATCATTAGTATGGTTTTCTTTAAAATGATACCCATTTTCTGTAGTTATGTTATTTTCTCCATGTCCAAGTAGGCAATGAGAGGGAAAGGCAGACTAGATCCTTGCTTCAGGAGTCTTCAATTTAGGGGGCTAGGTTTAATAATAGTGTCTTGCTTGTACAAGTATAGCATGGATAGAACTGGTTTCAAGCTTACCTGGAACCCAAATCACTGCTGTCCAGTGTCTCTGTGCTGCTGCTCTGTCAGTAGAGCCTTATAAAGGCCACCTATTACTGCCTGTGCTTTGCTGTTAATAATGTTGTCCTGAGATAATTCTCAAGGGTCAAAAGCAGCCATGCCTAAGTCACGTCCTTTGGTGAAGCTTTCATCCTCATTAACGTTAAGGCTGTGGGGAATGGGTGTTGAAAAGGTCCCAGGGGCTCCTTCCCTCCGCCTTCCCTCCATAGTCCTGTTTGCCAGCAGATGTTTTCCTCTGCACACTCATAAAGTTTAAAAACAAGCTGGACTTGAGTCTCAAGTACCTTCACTAGTGTTGAGTCATGTAAACTGTTAGCCTAACATACTTAATTTGGCCTTTGTGTCTTTCTAAGAGCATGGGCTTGGTTTAATTTGTTTCATTTAACTGTGTACCCAGCTGTCTAACTTCATGTATTTTTATGGCAAGTTAGATAAGAACACTATAACTTAGTGTTATTTATTCTTTATGATAATACTCTGTAAATAAACAAGTAATGCCATTAGCTTCCGCCAACTGAAAATAACCTTATTAATTTGCAGTTGAATTCCTGCAAGAAGAAAGTACCAAGTCACCACAATTAACCATTTCACTGCGGATTGGTAAGTCACGTACTTTAGTGTTTTCATTGTTCATTGCCATGAGAGCTGTCACCAGCCTGTGGATAATCAGGGTGTTGCATCCTGCTCTGAGGTCCTCCTCGAGGACATCGGAGACGTTTCACACCAGCAACCAGGTGCGCAACTACTCGCATTCATCAGTGCAGAGTATCCTGACTTGGCTCGGGCCGCAGGAATGACTTTTCCAAAGACCTTCAGAGGCCACTGAAATGCGAAATGATGTTTTCCTACTGTCTGATTTGCGTCAGGAGAAAAATATCTATGCTTTGCACCATTGCCATTCTGCAAAACAGGCATTTTAAATGGATCAAAATATACCTGCTCTTCTGAAGAGTCCAGTGAAGCTGCAGCATTAGGAAGTTGAGTCAGTACAAAGAATTTCCATGTTTATTAATAGCTGTGCTTTTTTATTAAAGCAGAATAACTCTTAAAGCCTTGGAAATAGTGATAAACTGGGAGAAAAACAAACAAAAGAACCCCCCAACAAGCTGTGACCGTTTGGCATCTTCTGTTTTTAGGGTTTGCTGGAGACCTGTCTCCTCTGGCCATGTTGCTGCTGGTCAGTTTTAGATCGTGGGAGCTGCACAATGTGGCTGGTGGCTCCTGGCAGCGTTGGAGCTAAATGGTCCCCTGCAATCTTGGTGAGGTGGTGTTTTGTTTTATTTTATTTTTGTTTTGTTTTTAAGGCCACTTTGGGGCTCAGCTTTTCTTAACATAATTGGGACAAACCACGGTTCCTAATGGAGCAATTGTCACTCCAAGCCCCAAATCCCTGGCTGAACAGCTCAATGCATCGTGACCTTTATTTCTGGATAACAGATGTGAAATAACTAGCCTAAAGAGAGGTATGGCTGAAAAATGTTTTCCAAATAGTTTTTCTTTTTAATAGAAGCCCAGCCCAGGATAGTTTACGATTTACATTGGCATGAAAAGCTCTCATGTGGACCTCACGGTGGGTTTCTTAAGTCCTGCCCTGGTATCACTGTGAATTCTGCTCTGGTCTCCTCATCTCAGTGCACGCTGCTGCAGCAGCAGTTGATAGGGAGTGGGTGAAAGGCTGGCACTTCATGAGCACCTGGGCTGAACTCATTTATTGCTGCTTTATGTGCTGGTTTTGTATGTGCTTTTGCTACAGAGTTGAGAACCAGTATGTGACATCAGGCTCCCTGTTGCTTGAAGGCCCAAGCAAAGCTCTAGACATATGTCCTTAATCTAAAGAGACAAGGTTGGGAGCGAGCTAGAAATACAAGGGCGAGGGAAAGTAAATCTGTTGTTTAAGGTATTATCTGGCACTTAGTTTTACCTGTGGTGATATATGAAGTCTAGGGCAGAGAAAGGAGATGAACCTTAACCTTCCACTCAAGTGTATTTAACCATAAAAGTGCCATTTGTCGTGGCATGCATGATAAATGCACAAACAGAACTGCTCTCCACACTGTTTCTGGTGGAGGATTTTAGTTATGACACTGCACAGGGATCCCTTGACCTGATTTAGGTTCTGCTGTGTGCTCTGCAGCCTCCCTGGCACCGTGAGGAGCCCACCCCAAGGCGCTGAGCGAATACCCAGCTTCGTGCTTAGACAGCTTGGGGGTGGACTGCGCTTAGAAAAAGGCTTTTAAATCACTTTGTCAAAGCTGTTCCTGGAAAGTCTTTTCCTGCAGTATTCAAAGCTCTAAGACTCTGCTAAGTTGGTTTTTTTTTTTTTTTTTAAAGGGGGCATTTTGTGTCTGGTGGCCTTGAGTTAGCAGCTGTGCAAGAGTCTACTTTACCCTGTCGACAGGTCCCCCCAAAGTACCTTAGCAATCTCTTCCCTGTTACTCTGAGGATTGTGGGATTGTGGATGTGCGCAGCACTAGAAATAAGAAAAGAAATATACTTTCTTCACAACAGCATAGATGGAAATGAGGAGTTCGGGGTAAAAATATTAAAACCTTCAAAAAATAAAATAAAAAAACCCTTAGAAGCAAACATCATTCCACACATTGCAGCCTCAGTTTGCTCTTCAGCCGAGGTTGATATCATGTGGGCATTTTGGCTTTACTTTGGTCAGTCCATTTAGCTTTCGTTGCCTATTTCTTACACAGCAGCGTTTTCTTTCAGATGCCATAGTTTAACACCTTTAGCATTTAACATTATGTGCTATTCAAAGCTTTATATATCATCCTACTATAACTATTCAATATGTGAATTATTCAGTAAAGGAAATAGCTAGCTGATGCACTAGAATAAACTGGAGAGAAATTCCCAGGCACTGCCCTCAGCAGCCCGAATGTTGCTTAGGTTTTTGTCATGCTCTGTGTTTGGACAGCACCAGCAGCAGGGTAGTCCCACAGGCTTGTTCTGTTGTCCCTTGCTCTCTTTCCACCTGCCTTCCTTTTTTGCCCCTCCTGCTTGAGAATTAAGCATGTGGTAGATAAATCGATGACATTTCCATATGCATACATGCATACATATGTATCATACTGATCTATGGTGTTTTCTAAGCCAGGTTGACAAATGACTTCTGTGTCTTAAGATTGATACTGGGATTCATGCAGCCTATGGAGCTGGTTCCCTGTCGGTGGTGGCGGCCCTTGGCTACCAGTTTCCCATAGCTGTTGGTATGTTCCCACCCTATAGCAAACGTATTCCCTGTGCAGTGCAGGGAGTGCTCTATCCCACCTGCTGCTTGCTGAGTATACATCTTGTTGCTCTTGATTTCATTTGCTTGCTATGAAGCTCATAGGGCTTGGAAATTTGGGACACCTGTCCCCTAGATACTCAGAACATATGTCTTGAGAACAGGGAAAACCAAACAATTATGTGTAATTAGGAGAGAAACTAATATTCAGGTTAGCGATGGAACTAGTGTTTTCTGATATTGAAGAATAAAGCTCTTATTCTCAAATAAATCCAGGCTGTAAGTTTCCCTACAGAAAGCCCCTCACCTATGTCCTTGTGTTTTTCAAAAGAATATTTGTTCCTACCAGTATTGGTTTTAACAGCTACAGCTGGCCTAGGGGAAAGTGAAAAATGGACAATTTATCAGGTATCAGTGCCTGTGCCTCTTCCAGGCACCATAATCAGATAGTTGCTAAATATGACACAGAATAAAATTGTTGATCTCTGTCTTCTACAGATTAAAGAAAATATAACCTGTCCAATCATCGTTATGCACCCAAAAACACTGATGGGGAAAACCTATGAGTATCAAATCTGTAAGTCCAAAGAAATTTGCAGAAAAAACAAATGACCCACAATGAAAAATGATAATACTTTACAAAATTGATATCTGGGAGCCTTGCAGCTCAACTAGCAGTAAAAATGACCCATTCTTTTCAACATTAAATTAGTTCTCTGGTGAAGTATAGAAAAGAGATTTTGGCGCTGTTTTACCACCTGCTCCTCATTTCTGGGATCTGTGTATTCAGTTTTGATTTATGAAGGAAATAGGCGAGGGATTCGGAGGAATTTTATACCACATATATCAAGACTGTAATGGTTTGAACTTTTCCTCCTGGCTGAGACTTTTTTTTTAAATCCTTCTATTTTTGTACAGTGGGAAAATTTTAACTGTTTGAAAAGCCAGAGATTTTTCAAGTACTTCTCTTCCAGTGTTTCATCACTGTTTCCCTGCCCAGAGACTCTTTTGCTAAAAGAGTGCAATGAGCTATTAGCTCTGCAGTGGGGTTAGCCAACAGATAGCCTGACTGCTGGTGAAACCAGTTGTCATGATTCCTTTCTTCTTATTTATGTCAGTAACTTCTATTTGTGTGCCCCTGTATGCATGTGCATATGGGGGAACGTAACACCCCCGGGGTCTCTAATTCACCTGTTATTAGACAGGCTGTGCAGTGATGCTTATTTTGGGGTGAATTTTCCTGTTGCTCTTCAATATGGGAAACAAGGTATCCCATTTGTATGCTGGACATGTAATAAGATCATTTTAAAGACAGAAATATTATTTATTTTGCAGCCAAGCTTCAATTACTCTGCAGTGAATCTATTAAGTGGCCCAAAAGGTAAAGCACCAGAAATGAGTGTGAAGAAAACTGGATTAAAAAGAATGTACAGCCTAGTTCACAACACTGACCGAGAGACAAAACTCAGGGTTGTGGAGTCCGCACGCTGCAAGTGTGGCCTAGCTGCACTTCCCATCACAGACAGCTCTATTTTCGTACCTTCTGACTTCTCCGTTCAGGAAAACAAATGCAGAGTGGTGGGTTCTGTGAGCACAATTTCTTCTTGTAGCTAAGAAATTACATGTTAAATTTTTAAAGAGAGTCCTTACCCTTCCTGGATTCATGTATCTGGTATTGCTAGTTGAGAGATAAAACTTGAGATGAGAAAATGCAATACAAGTCAATAGAAAACCTTGTTTTTAGAGATGTAATTAAATTAGCTTCAAGTCAAAATATACAGTTGATTTTTTTTAGACCATCTGAGAAATTTGGATTTAATTAATATCAGTAATCAAATGTTTACCACTTTCTTGGAGATAAAATTAATTGCAACTGCTCTGCAGGAATTTCTGGAAAAAAGTATTTTGTTGAAAATTCAGATATTTTCTATATAACTCTTTCTTCTGTTCCTGCTTACTAGTAGAACTTTCTTCATTGGTACCTTTCCAGTATTTATCCCAGATTGTACATGAGATATTTCAGTATTTATCTCAAATTGTATGTGTACTCAAATTTCACTCGCAAGGACTTGTGAATACAAATTTCTAATGAATCTGAAAAGTTGTCTTATAGACTTATGGTCAGTGGTATCACTGACCATATATATGCATTTATTTTGCAGTGTATACAAAAACAGCAGTGTGCTGTTATCACTGAATTGTCCATAAAACCTGCCACTTCCAGTTAATGTTTCTTCAAAATAAAACTTGCCTGACCTTCTAGTTGCTGCTTTAATAATGAACGTAGGTGCCTTTTGCATGTGGTTTTGGTTTCTATGTCAGTGTGACTTGCCCTTGTGAAGCTCCTTTCAGGGCCCTGTGTTTGGTGAGTGACACTATCTCACACCCCCAAACCTTTAAGTTATCTGCTTTACTAGGTGGCCTACCAGGGGTACTGGAATCTTCCTTTGAACTGTTTTCTTGTGGGCTATTTGGTTATGTGAAAGAAGGGGACAATATATGAATCTGATGCTGTCTGACTTAGAGCTTTTCACTCATGCAAAATAGCCTGATCCGACCTCCTCAGGCTTACCCAGGGGTTAGCTAAATATGACCCAAGTTCCATAGATATATTCCAGGACCCAAGTCAAAACTAATTTCATTTTTTATTGATCTGTATTGAGTAGGGTTATCTTTTAAGGCCAAGCTTCTATTCTGGATATAAAACCTCATTCTTCATAGCTTTTTCATCTTTGCCTCTGCCTGTTGATCATGATTTCTCGTTTATCTTTATCAGTTCTATGGTGTTAGATCCAAATGTGTGCGGCAGAGGAGCAACTCTGGTGTGCAACGAGGGCATAGCTACCACCACTGGAGATACGTATGTGCATTTCCCAAATGGTCTGTTCATTCTAAGCACTTCTCACTTAAAATGTATTATTTTTGTAGATATTCTTTTTAGTCGTTAGCCGTTAGAAACACAATGTTTCCACTAATAAGGTGAAGTTCACTTTTTTTTTGCCAGTCATATA